AAGAGAACTGGATACAAGGAAAAGATTAGTCCAAAGGACTAATTGTGCACAGCTACCAAGGCCTCCACCGGACTGAGTCCAGTACAGCTTGATGGTGCCTGACTACCACCACTGACTGCTCTGACCGGGATCACAGCAGAGGGTTCTGGACAGAGCTGGAGAAGGATGTATAGCATAATTCTAACTCACAGAAAAAGACCAGGTTTACTGGCCTAAAGGAGACTGGAGAAACCTCGAGAGTATGGCCCCCAGACACCCTTTTAGCTCAGTGGTGAAGTTCACTGTTCAGCCTGGGAGTAGACAGACCCGTAAAACCAAATGAGACTAATGAGGTACAGGAGTCCAGTGATAAGGGCCAGAAAGCAGAAGGGGACAAGGAAGTTGGTGCTAGGGAACCCAAGGTTGAGTAAGGATATTGTTGATGTGTAGTGAGGTGGTTAACCATTGTCATAGGGCAACATTTGTAGGAACTGTTAAATGAGAAACTATTTTGTTCTGTAAGCCTTCATCTTAAGTGAGAATAACAGCCCAATTGGAAGAGCGTAGTCAATGTCACTGAACTGTGCGTGTAGAAATTTTTGAAATCGTATCTTTGGCTATGTGTATTTTCACCAAAAAAAAAAGGTTGAGAAGTTAGAGGGTTTATATGTTGTGGGGTTGTTAACCAATGTCATAAAACAACATGTGTACTTCTGTTTCTTGGGAAACTATTTGTTCTGTAAGCCTTCACCTGAAGTGCAACAAAAATAAAATAAAAGTCTTATAATAAAATTTAAAAAAATAAAAATTAAGATCAGTTCAAAAAAAAATCCTCAATAAAATACTAGTCAATAGTGTGAACAACCCAGATATCCATTGACTGATGATGAATGGATAAACAAATGTCTTATATCCATACAATGGAGTACTATTCAGCCATAAAAATGCTACAACATGGATGACCTTTCTAAACATGCTGAGTGAATGAAGCCAGTCAGAAGAAGCCACATATTGCATGATTCCATTTATATGGAATGTTCAGAATAGGCAAATCCATAGAGACAGAAAGTGGATAGTGGTTGCCAGGGCCAGGGTAAGGCGAGTATAGGGAGTGACTGCTTAATGGGTACAGAGTTTCTTTTCAGGGTGATGAAAATGTTCTGGAACTAGATAGTGGTGATGGTTGTACAACTCTGTGAATGTACCAAAAAGCACGGAATTGTATACTTCAAAGTGGTGACTTTTATTGTATATGAATTATGCCTCAATAAAACTGTTATGAAAAAGTCAATTTTTAGTATTTATTTAATTCAAGTAGCATAGCTTCAAACACAAACTTTTTGAATTGAAAATTTAAATGTTATATAAAAAAAGTTTAAAGCATAGTTAGCCAAAGTAAAGATGTAATTTCCTGAACTACTGTTTAATGTTTATCATGCTGTTTTATTTCCTGAAATTGTTTTCATTGACATTCTTGCAAATTTAATGCATTATTCTTCTTTTAATTTCTTAAAATTGTGTTTAGAATAAAAAAAAATAAAAACCTAACCAGCTGCTGTCAATTCGATTCTGACTCACAGCGACTGTGTGTGTCAAAGTAGAACAACTCCATAGGGTTTTCAGTGGCTGATTTTTGGAAGTAGATTGCCAGGCCTTTCTTCCCAGACGCCTCTGGGTGGACTCTAACCACCAACCTTTCAGTTAGCAGTGAGTGTGTTAACAGCTGTTTGCACCACCCAGGGTCTCTGTTTAGACTATCACGGTGAAAATGAGGTTTAAAAAATTAAGTATATATAAGAAATGGCATGACAGAACAAGATTGTAATTACCAAACAACTGCGTTTTCGTGCAGTTTATTCTTGCAGGTTCCATAGAGTCCCCACAATTATATAAGCTGCAGGGTGTGGGAAAGGCAGAGAAGTTTTAGCTTAGGGAGGGAGTCTGGGTGGTTGGTTCCCCCAGCGTCCAGGTGGCTCACACCCATAATGAGAAGGGTTGCTACCTTCTGTTCCTAACTTCCCATCTGAGTAGTTTTTTCAGATGGGGGCTTTGTCAGAACCATAAGGTAGGTGACGTAAGTGACTCTTTCCAAACTACTCTTCAGTCAGTTCCCTGAATCACACTGCATTTTGATTTAGTGTCTGGAAATCTTAGTATTTAGGATCTTTGATGGATTTGTTCAGGGACCAAAACCTTGATACGTTTATTAATGAACATCAGTAATTTAATCTTCCTGAGTCTTCATGGAACATTTGAAACCCATAAAGGACAGTGACAATGTAAACACCTGTAGAAATTGTTGTTGTTGTTAGGTGCCGTTGAGTCCGTTCCAACTCATAGCGACTCTGTGTACAACAGAACAAAACACTGCCCAGTCCTGCGCCATCCTTACAATCTTTGCTATGTTTGAGCCCATTGTTGCAGCCACTGTGTCAGTCCATCTTGTTGAGGGTCTTCCTCTCTTTCGCTGACCCTCTACCTTACCAAGCATGATGTCCTTCTCCAGGGACTGGTCCTTACTGATAACATGTCCAAAGTATACGAGATGAAGTCTCGCCATCCTTGCTTCTAATGAGCATTCTGGCTGTACTTCTTCCAGGAGAGAGTTGTTCATTCTTCTGGCAGTCCATGGTATATTCAGCATTCTTTGCCATATAGAAATTAGAGAACATTAAGTATCATGCTATTTAAAGATAAGTATCGACAGATTACAGCCCAAAGTAATTACAGCAGACATGAGTTGGCAAATACAATAAATCAATTGAGAAAGAGGATGAAAAGAATTTAATTTAAAAAAAAATTAACGAAGTCACTGTTTTTCCTTCAGCTGCTTTCAAACTTGTGAAAACTTGGCTTGGTCCAGAAGCAATAAGTTTGTTGAAGTTTACAAGTAAAAATGAAATCCAGGAGTATGTCAGTGTAGAATACCTGCCTCCTCACATGGGTGGAACTGTAAGTATAGTACTTGAAACTTTTTTTAAAAAAATTATACTGCGTAATGGCGCATTAGACTCTATTTCCTCAAGGAAAAAGGAAAAGCAGTATCATAACATCCAAAGAAAGATCACAGATTCCCCAAAGTAGCAAGCAGTGTTGTAGACACTTGATCTTTAACATTAATTTTTTTTGAGTAGTTAATATCTTTACATGATTCTGAACTGAGAAGGTGTTCAGTGAAAAGTCTCCCTCCCACTCCTATCCCCATCCACCGTGTTCCCCTCACCAGATGCATTTCTTCTATTTTTCTCCAAGGGTGTGTGTTGCTTATGTAAACAAGTAAGTCTATATAATTCTTCCTCTCGTCTCTTTTAAACAGGTAGTGTACATATGCACTATTGTACATTCTGCTTTTTCTTCACAGCATGTCTTAGAGATCACTATGTGCAAAGCTTCTTACTCTTGTTCATGGCTACATAGTATTCCAGTGTCTAGGGCTGAACCCTGAGTTATTTCATTTCTTTTTGATGTGTCTTTAGTTTGCTTCCAGTTACATGCTGTTGAGCAATCTTTTAAATTTAAAAGATACTATTAAGTATGTACTATCAAAAATTTATTAATGACTTTACTACTTATACGTAAGAGACCAAGACTAAGTAGGTGCATGTTAAATTTTTAATGTTACATAACAGTGAAGTTATTGTGAGAATGGCTTTTTTATATAAACTGTGAAACCAATGGATTTGCTATGCTTCGCGTTAACTTGAGAGATAATATTTCAGTTATTTGATTTTTACAATCTGTATACTGCCTGCCTGGCAAAATTGTATTCAGCCAAAACCAAGGAGTAACAAGATGAAAAATTGTGGTATGTCCTTTTGTTTGTTTGTTTTCTTTGAGTAGAGAAAACTCAAGCCAGTATTTTTAATTCGAAGTTTGTTACTTTGTATTCTGAGGCTTTATATTTCACATTTATCCTAGAAAAACATGGTTCATTTAAAGTGCTACACTTAGTTAAAATAGCAATTTGGTTTGATTTGCCATTTTTAATAATTTGCCCATAGAATTGTTTAAACTTAAAATGAATATCCCGTTGCCATCGAGTCGATTCTGACTCATAGCAGCCCAACAGCATTTAGTAAAAAGGATTTTTATGGGTAGAAAAGGTTTTTTTTTTTTAATTTCTCTTCTTTGTGGTCAGTGGAATATTTCTTCAGAATTATAGTCAAATTTGTAGCAGAACTATTTAACATAATTTTTTAAGTTGTTTCTCAAAAGTAATACATACACATATAGCATATTGATTCATATAGGTCTACCCTATTTTTAAACTGTTGTAGAATATTCCATTGTATGGGTATAACATTATTTAACTGATTGTCTCTTGAAGATCTTTAGTTGTTTTCTAATCTTTTGTCATTACTAACAGTGCTGCAGTGAATAGCCTTGTAAGTAACTGATGACACACAGGTACACAGCAAGTACATGTATAGGATAAACTCCTGGAAGTGAAAATGCTGGGTCAATAGATACACTTAGTTTTTATATTTGATATAGCTACTGGTAATTTTCCTCCAAAGAGATTTTCTTTTTTCTATGAACTCTGTATCATTCCTTTACTCCTTGAGTTGTTAGCCTTTTTCTTGATTTTTACATATTAATGAATGTCTTTTGTTTCTGATACGTGTTGTAAATATTTTCCCAGTTGCAGCCTTTTTGAAAAAGAACGTTATGGTTTTTGTTTTTAAGTTTTTTTTATGTTGGTTGGATATTGTTTGTTCTTTTGCCATTCAGAAACGTTTCATTTCAGTGTGCTCAATTTTTATCAATGTTTTTATGGCTTCTAGGTTTTGTACTGTGTTTAGTAAGGCCTTCCCTACTTAAGTATTGTATTTTAAATTACCCTGTGTGGTGTTCTAGAGCTTATATGGCCTTTACACACACATACACATACACTTAAAGCTTTTATCCATCTGAAGTTGTTTGGGGTATAAAGAGTTGAGATAAAGATCTCACTTGATTCTTTTATAGATGGCTAGCCGTTTGTCCCACACCATTACTGCTGTCTTTCCTTTTCTGGTTTGAAATACCTTCTTAATTTTAAATTTCACTATCAAATTAAGTCTTTTTCTTGACCAAAGTAATGAATTTTAAATTCATTAGGAGAAGTACTCCTCTGCCCCCCTTTTAGCAGGTTAATACAAATTCTTTTCTTTTAGGATCCTTTCAAGTATAGCTATCCACCGCTAGTAGATGATGATTTCCAAACACCGTTGTGTGAAAATGGGCCTATTACCAGTGAGGATGAAACGTCAAGTAAAGAAGATATAGAAAGTGATGGTAAAGAAACCTTGGAAACAATTTCTAATGAAGAACAAACAGCTCCTGTAAAAAAGGTAATTTTAAGAATGAAATGAAATTGAGTCAAAAAAGTTGCAGTCTAGCCCCAATCCTGCCACTAGCTGGCTGTGTGGTTTCAGATATATCCCTTAACTTGCTGCCCTTCAGCATCTTTCTGTCTAAAAAGAAAGGAGGAGGATGGGACTAGCTGACCAGTAGAGTCGTTTTAATGTATAAAAGACTGATTTCGTGCTTTTGTATAAAGGTTGGCAAAATTTATCTGGAAGGACTTTGTTTTGTCTAAGATATCCTAATTGATCAAGTTCCTCTATCTTGTTTTTTAAAGAGCACTTGGTTGTCACTCTTCACATGAGTAATCAGAGGCTTAATAGAGGTACAAATACAATGTGACAATTTAGAACGAATTTTAAAACTCTTTTAAATAGCCTTCATGTGTACTTTTTGACCTAATGCCCTGCCCAAATATCAGTGTGAAACTAAATTTCTGTATCTTTTCTTTCTTCATAATTTTTTATCTTTAGATTAACCCAGCAGAACCTAATTCCAAAGCAGAAGAGAATGAAAAAGTTGATTCAAAGATGAAAGCATTCAAGAAACCATTGAGTGTGTTTAAAGGGCCCTTATTACACATCAGGTAATAGTTGAGGATTTTATTAGCTGTACTTTTATAACATATCTTCATCATCTTGGGAGCTGCAAAATTAAAACTTTACTTTTGTACCGTTTTTGAAACTGTGAACATAACAAAAGCAAGGGTTATCTGAAGAATCACCTTCGTTTCCAGACAGAATAGCTATTTTTAGTTATCATTTTGTTACTTATTCCATTGAGTGTGTGTGAAGGGCTCTCCTCACACGTCAGGTAATAAAAGTGAATATTCACATCTTAACCATAAATCTGAATAACATGTATTTCTTTTCATATTACTGATACTGTTCTACTTGCATGAGTTCTGGGATGCCAGAAATGACACTGAAGTAACCATTTGTCCATTTGACCTTCCAAAGGCCAAAGCTGAACCGTAAAACTAGGTTTTTTACTAAAGCCAAATTTCAGCCCATCTGCATTTTTGTTGTTATGTTATTCAACCCAAAAGATTCAGAATTGTTTCTTTTACCATAGTGTAAAAACGTCTTTCTCACTAATGATGCTTTTAGTTGATAAATCTATTAAGCCTTATGTTAACACTGCTACATCAACTTTTTTTAGTGATAACCTAGTAGATCACTTTCTATCCCTTTACTTGAAACCTTTAAACCTTGTAATTGTGTTTTAGGTATGTCTCTTATGAACAATACATCTAGGCTTTTTTTTTTTTTTTAATCTAATCTGAGATTCTGTTAATTGACAAGATTAGTCTGTTTATACGTATTTTAAAAACTGTTGTATTTGGATTTATCTCCACCATCTTTGTGCGCGCAGGTGTGTAGTTTCTGTTTTCCATGACTTGACTTTACCATTTTTCCCTTTTTATAAGTTTATTCCTTATTTTTTCCTCTACTTGTTTGGAAGTTATTCTATTTTTTCACTGAAAACCAAACCCGTTGCTGTCGAGTCAATTCCAACTCATAGCAACTCTGTAGGACAGAGCAGAACTACCCCACAGGCTTTCCAAGGCTGTAAATCTTTATAGAAGCAGACTGCCACATCTTTCTCCCACAGAGCAACTGGTGGGCTCAAATTGCCAACCTTTTGGTTAGCAGCCGAGCATTTAACCTCTGCTCCACCAGGGCTCTTTTTTTCACTGAAGACCTGTCAGAAACTTAAGTTCCAGCTTATAAATACAGAGTTATGGGAGGAGGAGCAGGCAGGGGAGAAAGTGACACTGAAGAATGTAAGTTTCCAGGCTTGCAGTTTGGACTCTACCTGTCCCTGCCCCCCATCTCCCTCCCAGGCAGTGCCTCTCCTGCAAATATACAAGGACTCAGTTTACAGCTGTCTCCCCAGAGCTTCTCACAGTTTTTGTGCTGATTTCCAAGAGCAATCCTATGGCATATTCAAGATTGAGTTTTAAAAGCAAGCTAGCAACAGTGCCCAGAGCTGGACAAAGCCCTTCTAAAAGAGTGCCTCCTTAAAAATGTGTATTCTCCAGATTAATAAATATCTCTGAGAGATGGAAATTCTGAATATAAAATGATCTATTTAAAGATATCTATCAAAATCAAGGGTTACCTGAAGATTCACCTTAGTGATTTGTTTCTTTATGTGAAACAAAAATACTGTTATTCCCATTGGTTTAAGGAATCTGATACAGTGTGGTTAATGTAATTAAACTACACAAGCTTTGCTCGAGTCATTTAATTTTTATTTTAAGTCATGGTCATTACAGTGGCCAAGAACAGTAAATTTTGAATTTTGAGGCTTGCTGATTTTACTGTTTGATAAGTCTCCCTTGCAGTTCCTACTGCAAATTTTATTTCTATGTTTATTCCTCCCTTCCCTATTACAGTCACGCACCGCATGACGTCATTTCGGGCAACGACCAACCACATATACGTCCGTAGTCCCATAAGGTTAAAATAGAATTCAGAAATCCCAATCAAAGAACGGGACGTAGTGGACGACACTGGACGTAGCGAACGCAACAGCTTCCCACACTCAATACATGTATCTCATGTCTCTTATACGAAAAAAATCGTATATCCCCGAGAGTATGGCCCCCAGACACCGTTTTAGCTCAGTGGTGAAGTCACTTCCGAGGTTCACCGTTCAGCCGGGGATTGGACAGCCCCATAAAACAAAACGGGACTAATGAGGCACAGCAGTCCAGGGACAAGGGCTAGAAGGCAGAAGGGGACAGGAAAGCTGGTGATAGGGAACCCAAGGTTGAGT